ATTAGGTACCAGGGAATGCTGTTTTATTGGGTGGTTTTGATCGTTCAGTTGAAAAGGTCAGGGTAAAAATCATAAGACCAGGTATAAATAATTTGGCTTCTTCACAATTGCCAAATATTTCAAATCAAATATTAAAAAAAAAGTAATGGAAGCTAATACCTCAAGTTTTGTAGCAATTTGAAAGCTAGCTACAGTATTTTTTTCGTTGACACTTTTCAGGTAGCATTAGACAAAAGCTACAACGACGAAGTTTACCTGAAAACTTAAAAAACATAATTTTCTCTTAAAATTATGCAATAATTCTTAAATACAGTTAACTTAACTTGGGGCAATAAAAAAACGTTACTCCGAATGATTAGGGTGATTCTTGGTTGATTTCTACTGTTCGTTTAAGTAAATTCTTATAAAAAAAACATGTCGAGTATATTTAATTTCTGGCCTTTTACCAATCGCAAAAAAATTAGATCGAATATTAAACAGTACTTACTAATATTTCGAGTTTTGTAGAAATTTGAAAGTTAGCTACAGTATTTTTTTCGTTGACACTTTTCAGGGAGCATTAGACATAGTTTTCTCTTAAAATTGTGCAATAATTCTTAAATACAGTTAGCTTAATTTGGGACAATAAAATAATGTTTACTCCGAATGATTAGGGTGATTCTTGATTGATTTCTACTGTTCGTTTAAGTAAATTCTTGTAAAAAAACAAGTCGAATATATTTAATTTCTGGCCTTTTACCAATCGAAAAAAATTTCAAATCGAATGTTAAACAGTACTTACTAATATTTCGAGTTTTGTAGAAATTTGAAAGCTAGCTACAGCGGTAGCCGAGTGGTTAGCATGAGAGACTCTCACGCCGCGGTCGTGGGTTCGATTCCCACCGTCGCCTCTGGCCCTTTTTACCCGATAACCTCCAATTTGAACACACAAGAAATCGTACTATGGCTAATATGCAAGATCATAAGGCCAATTAAAAAAAAAAAAATAAATAAAAAAAAATTAAAAAAAAAAAGTTTTTTCTTAAAATTGTGCAATAATTCTTAAATACAGTTAGCTTAACTTGGGGCAATAAAAAAATGTTTACTCCGAATGATTAGGGTGATTCTTGATTGATTTCGACTGTTCGTTTAAGTAAATTCTTGTAAAAAAAAAACAAGTCGAGTATATTTAATTTCTGGCCTTTTACCAATCGCAAAAAATTTCAAATCGAATGTGAAACAAGTAGTCCCCACTAGTAACTCGAGTTTTATAAATATTTGAAAGCTGATAGAGCTTTTTTTTTATCGTTGACACATTTCAAGAAACGGTTCACAAAAATACACGATGAAATTGGCCTGAAAACTTGACAAAAATTGTTTTGCCCTAACATTTTGCAATGATCGATACATCTTACAGTTGGCTGAATTTGGTGCAGCTAGAAAGAAACCGTTAAGTGTTAAGTCCCTCCAAATATTTAGCCTAATTGCTAACTTATTTCAACAGTTTACGTACATTCTTATAAGAAAGCACTAGGTCAAGCATAATTAATTTGACCTATTCAATTGCAAAATTTTACAAGCGTGGCAAAAAATACTGTCCCCAGTATATCAAGTTTCGTGGAAATTTGAAAGCAGGATTCGGTTTTAGTGTCATTGTCCCTGCCAAATGTCAAGTTCCAACGGTCAAGTTGGCCGTTTCCCCTGAAAATATGACAAAAGTACTTTATACTTTTAAGTTTCCGGTGGTCGATACGTCTAGATAAATATAGATGACCAGATTTCGTGCAGTTAAAAAAAAATCTCTCTCCAAATGTTTAACCTGATTTTGGTTGATTTTCGCTATTCACTTTAGCAGATTTTCGTAAATAAAGTACCAGATCAATTATTGGTAATTTGGCTTATTTACATGCCAAACCTTAGAATCAAATAAAAAATATAGTCTCTTAATACATCAGGTTTTTTTGGTAATTTGACGTCAAGATTCGGTTTGTGTGTCATTGTTCCTACGAAAGGAGAAGTTCCAATATCTGAAGTTGGTCATTTATCCTAAAAATATGGCACCATTATTTAGTAGTTTTATACATTAAAAATATAATTGGTTTAATTTGGGCAGTTAGAAAAAAACCGTTTCCAGTTAAGTCCCTCCAAATGCTTAGCCTGGTTGTTAACTGATTTCCATAGTTCGTTTAAATAGATTTTTTTATAGAATGCACCAGATCAATTATTATGCCCAATTTTAGGTTCAAATGACAAAAAATACAGTTTAAATAAAATTTTATAGAAATTTGAAATCATAATTTGGTTTCTGCGTCATTGAGCGAGCTAAATGAGAAGTCCCAATGGAAAAATTCGCCAATTATCCTAAAAATATGGCACCCTTATTTGGTTGTTTTATTTATGAATTTTGACATCATAATTCGGTTTTTCCGTCATTGTTCCAAATTTGAAGTTTCAACGGTGAAATTGGCCGTTTGCCCTGAAACATGAAAATATTGTTTTGGCACTTTCAAATTTGCACGTGAGATTTGGATAAAATCAATTTAGAGCAGTTCTAATAAAACTTTTTGCAATAAATTCCTCCAAATGCTTAGGATGACTTTTGGACGATTTCAGTTCATCAAGTAATTAAAAAAAAATTATACCAGATTAAACGCAAATAAATTTTGCCTCACCACCCTCAAAGTCATAAAATGTTATAAAATCAGCTTTCGTTGAAATTGAAAATGATGATAAATATTTTTGACTTTGACCGATTTAAGGAAGCAGTACATAATAGTGTTAGCCAAATGTAAAGTTTTGTAATCTATTAGGTTAAGCCAAGGATTTAAATGATGGGCTAAGCTGGCGGCCACGTTCATCTATGGTTTATTCCATGACACAACCGACAAGCGTTCCAGCATCTAATCGGCTATCATTCGGAAGGCTGGATGTGGATATAATCGAGAGGCGATTGCGGCGAGATAACTATTAGCATTAGAAAATGTGTGTTAGAACATCCTGGAAACTTCTGGTCTAGCCTTTGTCTGTTGCAAAGCTCCGTCACAATTACCTCTCTTGCTTCTCTTTCGACACGCGAATCCATTGTGTCGTCATTCAACAAGATTCGCAGGTTCCGTCAATGGACATGAAATTGATCCATTATTCTCAGCCCGATTCTTAACGTCCTCAATTGGAAAAAATGGGGTATAAATTATATTTGGATAGATTCGTAGTGTGGGAAAAATTAACGAAGCTATAAGGAAAATAGTAAGTCCCAATCTATACGCCAAATAAATACCTACTCCTTTATAATTTTTTTTATACTTTTATCTGATGGAATAAAAAATGGATATAATCTGAAAATTGTAATTTTCCCAATATTCAGGTTGCTTTAGGGGATGAGGGTGTGTGTAGTCTCACTATCAAAATTATAATGTACTTCCTTGTCTGTAGAAACATAAAGATTTGGTATAAAGCTAGGCCTTATATTGTAAAAAAAAATGGAAAGAATCTAAAAATTTAAATTTTCTAAAAATCCAGGTTGCTTTATAGGGTAGTCACCATCAAAATTATAAGGCTCTTCCTGTATTGGTAGAAACATAAAAATTTAATGTATGCTTTATATTGTAAAAAATGGAAAGAATCTGAAAATTGCAATTTTCCCAAAATTCATGTTGCTTTAGAGTATGAGGGTGTAGTCTCACCATCAAAATTATAAAGTACTTCCTGGATAGGTAAAAACATGAAATTTGGTACATAGGTGGGTCTTATACTGTAAAAAATGGAAATAATCTGAAAATTGCAATTTTCCCAAAATTCATGTACTTTAGGGGATGAGGGTGTAGTCTCACCAACAAAATTATAAGGCACTCCCCAAATAGGGAGAAACATGAAATTTGGTACAAAGGTAAGTCTTATATTGTAAAAAATTGAAAGAATCTGAAAATTGCAATTTTCCCAAAATTCATGTTGCTTTAAAGGTGTCTTATCATCAAAATTATAAGACACTTCCTGTATGAATAGAAATATGGTATTTGGTAAAAATTTAGGACTTATAAGTCAAGGTAAGAATCTTAAAATTGCAATTTTCTCTTCTTACAGGAGAAAATCGACGACATGCATAATCGCTCTTGTGCCTCGATAAAAACCAAGAAGACGTCCACGATGCTGAACCGAACAAAAAATATTATATCCCAACAAAAACCTAACCGTGAAAAAAGGGCCAAGATTCAAACCCCCCCCCCAAAAAAAAAGTCTATCGATGTAATGATATCTAAACTGTGGTCAACTCCATTCTTTCACTCCATAACCTGGGAGAACTCAAAAGAAAAGATAAAAGTTCCAGAACCTCCCAAAAAACGTCAGCCTAACATAGTAGTGATATAAAAGAACAGTGTTGCTCATAAAAGTAGGAGTGATGTGAGGTTGGCCGCAATGTAAATATCACTACTTCGATAGGTACACTTTTTTGGGAGGGAGTTGAAACTTTTATCTTTTCTTTTGAGTTCTCTCAGGTTATTTCTTATTAAACAAAGAACGGGCTTGGCCATAGTGTAGATGTCATTACATTGATAAGCTAATTTTTTTGGAGGGGGTCTGGAACTTGGCCCTTTTTTCACTATTGGGTTTTTGTGGGATACATTAATACAAAACTACTTTTTAATTTTTAATCTGTTGTCAACTTCTAGCATCCTGTTGTCAAATTTCACTTTGACTTCGTGGCGTCACAACTCGATTTTCGAAAGGAAAAATGCAATTAGGTCAAATCCGGGAAGAGGTGATAATCTGAAGGGAGCCAAGTCCAGGCTGTAGGCTTTAGAGAGAGGGAAATGTCTGTTACAATCAACTCTCACACCTGTTATTATTTTAAAAAGTAATTTCCGATCAAATTCTCGACTATTGTAAATATTTGCTTTCTATTTGGAAAAGTGCACTTTACATCAGAGCTTTGTGCGTAACTTATCCAGTTAAACTTTAACAATACGTTCGATCGAACGTTACCACTACCTTTTAATTATCTTTTATGTTTGTTCCTATTTCAGCTACTTTCGTTTGCTGGAAAGCTGAGGAAGTTCGCTCCGCCTTATCGAAAAATGAAGAAGGAATGCCATACCGAAACAGGAAGGCGAACGAAAATTCACTCAAGGTAAGTTGCAGTTCTTCTATTCAATATTTATTTGAAACAAAGGGTGTAACTAGAGTGAAATGCGATCGTGATTTCTCACCGTAGTGCATGTGCTATTTCACACGTCAGCCAGTGTGGCAAAAGCGCAATTAATTTTACAAGGACTGGGAACTTTTTTATTATCTATAACTATTCCATGTTGATCAGTTCTGGCCATATACCTCAATACAAAGACACAGGATCGGCCGAAAATAATCATTGTTGATTGTCAACTTATGAGGATCAAACTGTATAGAACATTAAACTATTACAAAGTTCGGTTAAAACACCACAAAAAAAAAGTGACTTTTACTAATCTGTCTTTACCAATTCAAAGTCTATTTCTAACGCTTAGACCATTTTGATCAAAATTGATCATTTCTGGCCATAAATAATTTAAAAAAATACCAAGAATTGCTGGAAGTTTGATTTTTGATTGTTCAATAATAAAAACTGGCTTTTATCCAGTCAATTGGGAACTTCTCGTAAGTCAGTTCAACTTGAAACAGCCATAATCGACAAACGACGATTATATTGATCAAACTGTACCATATTCAATGTTTTATTTCTTTAAGAAGTTTGATAAAAATGGATCACATCCGGCTATACACTGACCTTATTAGAAATTAACAGCAGTGATCATTATGATCAAACTGTTCAAAATGTATCTCTTGCCTAGCTTCAAGCACTTCGTGCCAAACGCTGCTCAAAATTAAGAGCCACAATCGACAAACGATGATCACATTGATCAAACTGTAACATATTCAATGTTTTATTTCTTTAAGAAGTTCGATAAAAATGGATCACATCTGGCTACACACTGGCCTTATTAGAAATTAACAGGATAGCAGTGATCGTTATGATCAAACAGTTCAAAATGTATCTTTTGCCCAGCTTCAAGCACTTATTGCAAAATTAAGAGCCATAATCGACAAACTATTATCTCATTGATCAAACTGTAACATATTCAATGTTTTATTTCTTTAAGAAGTTCGATAAAAATGGATCACATCTGGCTACACACTGGCCTTATTAGAAATTAACAGGATAGCAGTGAACTGTTCAAAATGTATCTTTTGCCCAGATTCAAGAACTTCTTGCCAAACGCTGCTCAAAATTAAGAACCATAATCGACAAAAAGTGACCAATATGAATAATTATTAATTAATAATAATTATAATAATAATTAATTATAAATATAATAATAATAATTAATTATTCCTAGGCATACCCACTATAAATACCTAAATTTGGTTGCATTGATCATTACTAGCAAACCGATACAAATTTCATCCTTTTTTCAAGCCAATCAGACACTTCTGACCAATCGCTCAATATGAAATCCCATAATCGATAGACAATGATCATTATGAGAAAATTATTACGAAGTCAATTTTTTAGTCCCTTGAATATGTTATATGACTATTCAAGGGTTGAATTGGTCATATATAGACAGGATTGGCAGGCAGTGATATTACGATCAAACTATTCAAAATGTATAACTTTTATCCAGCTAATCGGGCACTTTCGACCAATCACTCCGCAAAATGAGGAATTATAATCGACAGATTAGGATCTAACGATTACGAAGTCAATTATTTAGTTTTAAGTAGTCCGATAAAAACTGATCACACCTGGGCATACTATATACACTATAAATACCCAGGATCGGCTGGCATTGATGATTGTGATCAAACTGGTCAAAATGTATACCTTTTTCTAGCCAAACAGGCACTTCTGGCCAATCGCTCTCATTGAAGAATGAAAAGCTATAATGGTCATTATGATCAAATCATTACGAGGTCAATAATTGTTTAATTCCCCTTAGGCAGTCCGATAAAAAAGATTCACTTCTGGCCACAAATGCTTTATTATAAATAGTGACCGGTTGGCTATCATTATGATCATGTTCAAAGTGTACTTTCAAAGTCCTTTTGCTCAGCTAATAAGTCACTCTAGCCAATGATTTAGCATGTAAGTACTCCGTCAATTATTTAGTTTTAATTAATCTGATAAAAATTGATCATTTGTCACCCACTACAAATACGCATCATTGGTCCTAATGATCAAACTGGTCAATATGTAAACCTTTTGCCTTGACAATCGGACACTTATGGGTATGGTTAATCGCTCCTAACAATGAAAAGCCATAATCAACAAACTAAGACCATTATGATTAAGCAATTACAAAGTCTTGTCAGTTTAGACAAAATTGATGACTTCTGGTTTTATATGTATATAACTCACTATGAAAAGCAAGGTCATATCGTCTTTGTTTGCCAATTATACGAATTACTTTCCAACTACACCAAGTCAATTAAAAAATTATTCAGAAATCGGGAGATGCGGTCTGGTGTGATGTAGGTTTCATAAAAACATTTTCTTTATCGTGCCAACGTTTCGATCTTTATTGAGATCATCTTCAGGGCTCTTTTGTCTTCTGTGTAAGTGTGCCATTGATTGTGCGTGTCCTGTTGAGAGTGCCCATCTGAAGGAGAAGGATCAATTAAAAAGTATTTTTTCCTTATTATTACTTTTTAAATTATAAATTGTTGAGAATTTAAACTGATTTTTATACTCCGTCTATTTCTTTTTTGTTGGTTCTCATTTGTTTTTCGGTTTTTCACGCTAGGATAATAATAGCACACCTATAAACGGCAGAAAACTGATATGTGCTGTAAATAAGGCTTCTTTCACTCTTAGGCCACCCAACCAGGTTCATAAATTTGAAGGTGGTGATAGGAGAATCGAAAGGGAACAAGGTTCACCTTTCGACTATCCAACTGGCCGGATGTGAGCCGCCGCCTATGAGCTGCGACATACCGCATCAAGCACGATTCGCCGAAGACCAGCAGTCATAAATCAACTCGATTTTTCTTTCCGCTTTGTAATCGCACCGGTCATTATCCGCCGGATACGAAACTTTCCGAAATGCTGGAAAAAGTCACAAATTGCTCCATTTCAAACGCCTCGCTTTTTTCAGGCCACCACCACTTTCAGCCTTCGGGGGTAAAACGATCAACGTTGCAAAAGATAATAAATGGAGTTCAAGAAATGTTCTAATCGATTCTCAGTTAGTGCCGTTGGCAACTAACAACCTACAACAACGGCATTAATTTCAAGGCTGGTAAACAATTAATTCGAATAATAATAAATAAATCTTCTTTAGAACTATTCCCTTTCCTCAAACTGTTCTATTGAAGGATAATTGTTTCTTGTTAAATATGATGTAAATTTTATGAATATTTGCTTAAGAAATGAAGTGGTTCTTTAAAAAAAACAGACTATTGACAAAAAAAAGTTTATGAATAAAATTTAGGCAATGTCCTATTTACAGTTTGTAAATTTCGTTAAGCAGGCGTCACACCTTACTAACAAATATTAGCACTGCATTTTCATATAAATTGTTATATGACTCTTCATTTTTTTATGATTTATTGAGACAAATGGCACACGCTGCACAGAAAGCTAAACAGACCAATCCCAGCTTAAGACAGTCAATTTTCTCTCTATAGCAGATTCACAAGTCACGTTTGGCTTTTGACCTTTGACGCTCATCCCCATCGGGTCATATTAAGTTCTCTCCGGCTATTTTTAAAACGGCTGTTCAATTTTTGATCGGCCCAACTGTAGAAAAATTGGCGAGGCCCCGAAATGCCAAGGATTTAATCTGTAAATATTATTAAAAGAGGCCGTTTGACGGTAATATAAACGCTTAAATCATAAAGCTTAAAGTTTAGAGTCGTGAACTTGTTTTACAAACTGGTTTGCAAATAACGAAATATGATTTACAGCCCGTTGTAGTCCGTATAAAAGACAATTATTCGGCTTTTATAAGGAGATGGGTTTTTATTTTATGCTATTTCGTACTCTCAAATCCGAATATGATCGGCCTGATTATCCAAGGAAATCGTTTTCAAACCGCTTTCCATGCAGATTTGTGACAAAATTCCTTTACTTGGTCATTTTATTGGGTTGTCCGGAAAATAATGCAGGATTTTGGTATTAAACAAAAAAAAAGAAACTAGTTACTTTAAAGCAATGTTCTTTAATCAAAATAATTTCCCATACTCTCAATACATTTCTCCCAACGTGTTGGTAACTTATTAATTCCGTCTGAGTAGAATTCAGAATTTTTAGAATTGATAAAGTCAATAAATGCATTTTCCAGTTCCGTTTGATTTTTGAATATTATGTGTTGTAAGTAGTGGTCCAGGTGTCTAAAAAAATGGTAGTCAGTAGGCGAGAGGTCCGGAGAGTAGGGTGGGTGAGGCAAAGTTTCATAGCCAAGCTCCAATAATTTTTGTGACGTTACACGTGACACATGTGGTCGAGCGTTGTCATGCAACAAAATGGGCCCTTTCCGATTGACCAAAGAGGGCTTCATTACTGCCAATTTCTGATGCATGGTATTAATTTGGTTACAGTATGATTCAGCATTGATGGTTTCGCCAGGATTTAAGAAGCTGTAGTGTATTAAACCAAATGAAGCCCACCATACCGTAACCATTACCTTTTTTTGATGAGTTGGGGGCTTTGGAAAATGTATTGGAGCTTCTCCTTTGTCGAGCCACTGTCCAGAACGTCTAGTGTTATCGTAGAGAATCCACTTTTCGTCACATGTAACAATTCTGGCCAGAAATGGGTCATTTTTGTTTCGACAAAGAAGTGATGCACAAACATCAAAGCGCTGATTTTTTTGGCGATCGTTTAATGAGTGTGGAACCCAATTTTCGAGTTTTTTCACTTTTCCAATCGCCTTGAGGTGGTCAGCGACGGTCGTTTTACTGACTTTGAGTTGCTCTGCAAGTTCTCGAACGGTTGTTTTGGGGTTTTCTTCCACCACTGATCGCAGAACATCATCATTAAGAGAGGAAGGCCTTCCACGACCTTCTTCATCTTCAAGGCTGAAATCTCCCTCCCGAAATTTTTTAAACCACCTTTGCACAGTGCACTCATTAACACAACCCTCGCCCCAGACT